AATTGAATATGAATCCAATCAGCCGCAGTCTGCAGAGAAAAGCCTTCTCTTACTCATTTAATTCATGTCTAATTCCTCGCCAAGCTCTCTGCTACAAATTAGCTGCGGTGCCGGCGTCTGATCTGACAGTCAATACTGCATTTTCTTGTCTACAATTCCTCAATAATTAATTTTTGCTCTGGCCAGTTCGTTCATTTTCTTCTGTTATTTTTGGGGAGATAATCTAGAATCACAAAACTAAAGGAACACGGGAGTACGGTAACACTGCAAGGATTATAGACCAATTTACAGCAGTGCTCATTTCCAGAAGAGGAAAAGATAACGTACACAGATTCTGTCTGTTCGTGGAGCGAATCGTTTTTAGTTTAAACCGATGTGCGTGTGTGCACTTATCAGAGCTGACTGAATTACAAACTGCTTAATGAAATAAGTCCAAATTATCTGCAGCTGGATTGGCTGCCTCATATCACCCTGGAGTGTTTTCATCGTGTATGTGAAATACTCTTTCCATTTCAAAGCATCATGACTCTTTCTCTACGTGTTTGGGTGTCTGTGTGAGCGAATGTTACCTCCGTGGGACTTTCTCTCCTCCCCCCTCGGTGTGGTTCTCTTCCCCCTCTCCCTGCATGTCTGGCACCGCCGCAACCAGGTCTTTTAAAAAATCAAACTGCTGCTCCAGCTCAATGCACTGCTTTCTGTGAATAAATATGAACAGTTTTCTCCTCAGCCTTACTTGCCAAGTGAAATATAAGCTTTTATCAAAAAGACAGCAAGCTTAATGGTGGTACAAACTCATTTTAGCAACACATACAGTCTGAGTCACAGGGAAAGATTGTTTTGGCGGGCTGTCTTACTCAGGCCAGAAATACTTTCAGATACAAGGGATTCAGCAATGTGCTGCAAATGTGCTCCACAGAACTATCAGGCTCCCACCACACAGTAAATCACGCTGTGTAGCAGAATGCCATTTTTTTTGTAAAGACAGCTCATAATGATTTTCCTTACTCATTTATCTTTTTGCAATGTGTAGGGTTAGTCCTTGTTAGTTCATCAAATGCTTTCCCACCTCACCATCTTACCTGAAAAAACATTCCAGGTGGAGGATACACATCCTAAATAGGAATCGTGGAAAATTTCAGGTTCCGGCTGTCATTAGCTTTCTTAAAAATATTTCAAAGGATGATGGTAGGGCTGTTTTTAGACTGTTTTTAGCCAACATCATTTTTGAGGGGCGACTTTAAAATGACATTATCTACTTTAAAGTGTTTTAGGCATTTTTTTCTTAGATGAGAAAGAAAACCATCACAATCTTTACTTAAAAAGTCAATTTGGATTTGGTACATGTTGTCATGTAAAAACAAAATTATGCTAGGGAATTATTCAAAAACACTCCTATTTTCAACATTTCACTGAGGATTATTTTTTGACTAAACTAATGACTGAAGTCCTGAAATTTTGCACAATTCCCATTTTGTGAAATTTGATTAAATGAGATGAAAGAACTGTTAAATGTACTGTTAAAATTAATCAGAAGAAAACTGACTTAAAATAAGTATATTGTGTATGTTATGAATAATCGTTATTTTTAAATGTGAATCAAGCAAAGCTACTTTAGTAAAGTCCAAGAATGAAATTATCGAGCTGAAAGTTCATCATGAGTTCACTTTAAAAGTAAACAAAATAAAGGCCTGACAGCATTTCAGCTACACTCATTAAAAACAAATACAATTCTATATAAACAACTTTTCCCCTTTTCTTCAACTACCTCTTTCTGGCTATAATATACCAGTGATCTGAACAGCAGATGGCTTTGCCTTCCTAAGAAGTTCATCTCCAACACAGTGCAACACAGACATGGCTCTCAATGAAGACAAACACAGAACTTACAGATGTGCCGTTGTCATTGTCTTTGCATTCCTAGATTGGGTGACTTGACAAGCCTTTGTAAGCAAGGACTCCAAAAAAAGCTCCAGTGCTCTTGCTGATATCTTGGATAAGGGAAGTACAGTGAAGCAGTGGTGTGTTTGTACTTTAAAATCATCAAACTATCAAACATGCAATAATAGACAACTTGACACAACAATACAACAGACTGAGGAAGCATTTTTCTCTAATTATTAATCAGTCTTTTGCAATTTATAATTCAAGACAGAACTTGCACAGTGACGACTGCAGGCAGGAAGGATACATATAATAACAGGCACTGCTGCAGCCACTTTGCCTATTTCTTCATCTGTCTGCATAATCTTCTTAATCCTTGCCTGAAATGAGAAAAGGTCGATTTTTATGCATGTGTCTACAGCAACGCTTCAAATTTTCTTTCTCTTAAAAAACAACAACAAACATTTTCAGTGAAAACGCGCTGAAATTCGGGGACAACCTAGTAAAGAGTTTGCAGTACAGCACATCGAATAACGTGAGGTCCCCACAAAGTAACTGCAATCATTACTATTACACTACTCACGTAGTGTGAGGATTGTAGATACATTATCCAGCTTATTACAATAAAGAATGGATTTATTCACATTTATTTACGTGCCGTTAAGCCTAGCTTGAGATGCTAAAAACAACGTCAATTAGTAGACCAACTTAAATAGCACGCCTGCTATGTGTGTACACCACCAACTAATGACATACAGGGGATGTTTGGTCACTAATTTCATGACATCAACTACTTTTCACTAAGGCATGTGCTTTGTATGCTAAATGGTTTGGGAGTGTTAGATGGCTTGTACGCTCTCTAAGCAACAAAAGAGGCCGAATTCCACTTAAGCTAGTTACAGAACTTAGCTTTCCATGTTACACTTTGCTAACGTTAGCTTGCTTTGACACCGGCTCAGCACAGTTTAAACTTACCGGAGGAAATCTGGCGTTGTATTTCTTCTTTTTGCTGGGCATAATTAAATTACCTGGGTGGCTAAACTAAAATAAAATACAATATATGCTATATTCGTATTCTATTTCATACAGAAATTCGCCTCCAGCGCGCACACACCAGATAGTGGTGGCTATCCGGCTAACTAGTTAGCACATCGTCTTCGTCACTCGTTCCTCGGTGCGGTCAGTTTGTTTCCGCAGGGTCTCCGTGCCGTCAGGTTGGAGCGCATGTCGTTCCGCAAATGCAAGGAAAAGAAATACTTTTATTTAACCATAGTAATGGAACCTGTTTATTTTTAAAGCTTAACAAAATACAAATGTGGGAAACTTACATATTTGACTTGTACACATACCGAGGAACATGCAAGTTTTTTTTAAAAGTCGCTGAATCTAGTACAGCATAACTTATGTTTAAAATTATGTTATAGCAAAACGTAAAAATATATATTTATATCACGTGTTACATACCGTCGAATTTGTGGACGAGGTACGTAATTTAATTGATGTATAAATAATTATTAGTTAAACTCCCAGCCACCTGAATGGATTTTGGCTCTTAGATACAGAGGAGCTGCTGCGCTTATGCGGAAGATCAACACTGAACAACAAACTTCGACATCTACGGCTAGAGTAAGCCTTTATGTTCAAAGTTTAACATCGACGTGCGACTATTTACGTTTTGAATGGGGAAACTGTGAATGTTAAAGCGTCAGTTGTATTCAACAGCTGGCTAGAAATGGCTAGCCAGGACGAGTGTGTACATTTATAAAGACGACTAGCTTGTCGGCTAGCTACAACAATGCTAGCAGTCAGAAAGCTGTTCTGCGTGTTCTTTGACATGTCAGCTGTAGGCGGTATACTGGGGTCGATAGCAGCTTTAGTGTAAAACTGAATCAGTGGTAGAGATACGCTAACTTTCGCTGTTGTAGCAGGCTAGCTAGTAGCATTCATAAGCAATTCAGCTGTCCACTTCTGTCGAAGTTTGGCAGGGTTGTAAGCTAATAAATAACAGCAAAAGGGTTGTAAGCTAACACAGAGGCTAAACCAGTGGTTTTTATACAAATAATAACTGCATTCTTCAACTCAACAGGCAGGCTTAAGAACTTGTTTACTCGTGTAACTGCTATACCATTATGGAGGAAGAAGAGGGCCCAGTTGATGGCGAGATGAGGACCCCCTTTGCTGCAGAGACCTATGCTGCTGAAGCCATGGCTGCAGACATGGACCCCTGGATTGTTTTTGACTCTAGAAGAACTCCCAGATCCGAGTTTGATGGCTGGTTGGAGAGTAACAGGCCCTCCCAAGTGTCCAGATTTGGAGACGAGGAGGGTGGCGTCAGCCCTGTGGGGTGGATTGCTGTGGTGGGCCCAAACCACTGCCCCAGTGGTGCGGATGTCACAGGACTCCAGGAGAGTTGGGAGAAACTTTTGGCGAGTTCCCGGCCCGTCACCTTCCAGACAGTGAGGGAGCTGGCCCTGAACCATAGGGTACTCTCAGGCAAGTGGCTTATGCACTTGGACACTGGTTTCAAGTTGGACCACGCTTGGGAATGTGTGGCAAGAGCAGCCCTAGATGGTAAGATCTCACTCGTTAAAGTCAGCCCATTTGACCGCAAGGCAGAGGGCAAGCAGGTCATTTGTGCCTATAACCAGAACTTCACTGATGAGAATGAGGTCATGAGGCTGGATTCGGTCATTCGTGCCACAGGGGTCAAATGCCCTCTCTCCTACAAGCCAGATGTGTATACATACCTGGGAATCTATCGGAACAACCGCTGGAATGTTTGCCCCACCATATACGAGAGCAAGTTCGACCTGGAGTGTGTGCCCAGGCGTTCCCACATCATCAACAAAGTTACCAATCTTGAGGTAACATAAGCCACTCAGACCAAGAGAGGAGTTTTGCTGTAACAGTATGTGAAGAGGTGCGTGATGATCCCAGGAGATGGGTTGGACAGTACAGTCCTCTGACTGCAACTATTTAGAACATCATTGGTTGAACTCCGATCACAAGTTCATCCTTTTCTCTTTTTTTGGAAAAAAAAAAAAAAAATCCAAAACACTAAATTTGTCTCTTCTTTTTGTGTTGTAAAATTTTCTGAATGACCTGAAACACTTTCAGATTCTTTATTTTGTATTGAAAATATTGTATACAAGAATAGTAGTACTAACAAGATTCTAACAGGCTCGAGTGATGGGAAGAACACTAACATCCTTGATTTGTATGCACATTTTCAGAAGATCCACTGAAGCACTCCTTGTTGCCATTTTACATTTGTCTCTTGCGTTCGGCTTTTTTTCCCCCCTTTGTACTGTATAACAGTTACAGAGTTGCAAAGTAAAATACTCTTTTGAAAATCGTCTTTATATGTTGTGGTATTTATTGCCAAAACAGTGTTTTGTATGTTGACAAAGTCTCATTCCAAAAAAAAAAAAAAAGCACAATTATACTACGATCCACTTTCATAATACACGTAAAAACATAATTACATTTCAGTAAAGCACCTTACTGCAGAGAATAGCAAGTCTGAAACAGCTGAGTTAAAATGCAACCATTACTGATAAAATAAGTGTAGAAAAACTGATTACAGAGCAGTGGAAACTATTACCACATAAAAAGCACAATCTCTAGTATAAGCACATATATAGTAATGTTGCTTGTTTGATAAATGTACACCTTCATTTTGTTTCCAAGACATTCAGATAGTTTGTGTTAACCTTCAGAAAACAATGGTGCAATCCAAAGAGATTATTTTTTTAAAAAATGGACATAATCTGTGTAGACTTACCTCTAGATCTGATTACATATATATGAACCCTTTTGTATAAAGACAAAAAAAGAGACAAAAGCTGCACATTTTTGTGGCCACAGCTACCAAAATTGTTCAAATGACAATACAAAAACATGCTTAACATGTTCCAAAAATAATCACCACACCGGATACCTTTATCAAAGTACCCATGCTGTCTGTCTTCTTAAAACATTCGCTGGAGAATCTGTCTCCACCATCAATATGTTGACAGTGACCTAAACGTTTAGTCACAGATGCTGGACATGGTTTCACAGGGCATGAAATCTGATCACCTACATTATGGGTTTTGCAATTTATCAGACAAACTATATGACTGGGCAAGGCGTCAGACTGAATACCATAAAGTCATTGCTGGTATTTTAAGAAGTGTGTCCACAGTGAGCAGTGCTGCTACATTCGGTCTCCTCTGCCTACTTCCTTTTTTGCCTTACAATAATAAAGAAGTTTTAGTCCTGATGGCCACAGGGGAAGATACAATTGGTCTTTGGGAAAATGAAAGAAACTTTAAGTCGGGTGTCCTGACACAAACCCAGCTTGGCTTCCACTGTTAAAAATGGAAATAAGACGGTCCTCATCAGCAGACATCAACTCATCGAAGTCTTCGAGCATTTGGTTGTTATTGGGTCTGCTGTCTGTCATGATTTCGTTCTGGAGCAGATGCACAATGCTGTTGGGGTAATTCATCCAAGTGCTTCCTGGGTTGCTGGCAGGGTCAGAAGTGTTCTGAGATGCTGCACTAGTCTGGGCAGCAGTAGAGGAGCCCGAAGGGCCAGTCGGCTGACATGAAGGATGATTTACACCAACAAGCGGGGGGTTCAGAAGATCCTCCAAGTCATCCATGTTGAGGCTGTCCAGGTTGACTGGGACCTGGCCTTCAGTGAAGCTAGGGAAATCTGGGATATCGTCATCCACAAGTGGTGGTTCTCCCCGGAACTGAGTGCTCTGGAGGGCGAAGGAGTTGCTTGTCTGTGAAGAGGCCAAGTTTACTTGAGAAGCTGAGGGCTCCTGCTGAGTGATAGTCGAGGAAATGTTGGGGAAGAATTCATGAAGATCTGACAGGTTGACTGTTGAGTAGTCCTGATTGGAAGTTGAAGTGATGGTAGAGGAGACGGTGGCCGGTGATGGGTTCATTGAAAAGCTAGACACTGGGTTTGCTTTTGGTTGGGAGCCCAGGGCTGTCATCTTCCACTGGTTGGTAGGAGCTGCTGACATGTTGGAGGCTTCTACCTTTGTCTGCTCAGAAAATAGCTGGCCTGGTTGGAAGGAGTATTGGGGATGTGATTTTGCCCCAGTGGGACCAGTGGGCACCACAGCTGCTGCAAACACAAGCAAGTGATTTGAGAACTCACTGCAGAAAATCCTTCTCACATATTTCAACTGCTTTAAGACAGGAAGACGAGGAGATTGAAACTAACACCAATCTAAATTACTGTTTTATTATTTAGAGTATTATTTATTATAAGCGGACATTAACTATCATCAAATTACATTTGCCAAGCATGACAATTTTTGAATGAATCCATTTGTTAGTTGGTGTAAAAGATATCAGGAAGTAAAGTAAAATGTCTTCAAATGAGTTCAAATAAGGAAGGAACATCTGCAACAGACTCACCAGCTTGTTGGTTCAGTAATGGAGGCTTGGCTGTCAGCTTTCTCCTTGATGGGTTTAGGTGCTGTCTATCTTGTGGAGTGGTCACTGAAATGTCAGAAGACGTCTTTATAATACCGTGCTTAACAACAGTGTAACCATTATCCAATTATACTATGCTCAGCTGACGGAAAAAAAATCTTATTAACCTACCACTAGATAGCAAGGGCCCTAGCTTCAGGTTCTGGAACATATCTCCTGTCCGCTTTCTCTTCTCACTCAGCCTGTATTCATCTGCCAGGGTGGAAATGATAAAGAAGTTAAATTTGAGCAAAGATGCACATATTCAGCACATTTTCTGCATATAATATATTTTACCTGGATCTGATGGCAGGTACTGGAAGTCCATTGGCTCACTGACTTCTCGGTCAGAGGGGCGCCGGAGCTGCATCTTGACTCTCACTGGCTCAGTGAGGTTAGTGTCACGGTAGGGCGGAGTGCGAAACACAATGGCCACCTGCCTGTGGACATCAGCTTGGGAGAAAGTGCCCTTCCCCTCCCAAGAGTCTTGGAAGAAACGCACCTCGATGTCCTCTGCAGGGAAACAGAAAATGGCAAATGTAACAACATACTGCAGCTGGTGATGAACTCAAAAAGAATAATCAGATAATCGGGCACTAACTCGCCGGCTTCGGTGCAAAAGCAGCTCTGATGTTTTTGATTAACAGAGAAAAGACCCCGGGGGTGTTACATCACATTTGCTGCTACGCAACACTCAAGTTTAACAACAACTTAGAAGGCTCGCAGCCAGCTTCAGTTGTTAAACTTCAACCAAAAGGGTTTAATGTTCAAAGCAGATATGTGGCAGCTCCGCTCGTTGTGAAAGTAGCTGTGTGACAGGCTCCCAGAGTCAGCAGGACCAAGAGATGAACTAGTACAAAATTCAGCCTTCTCACAATCTTTTTTTTCGCAATGATGCAATTTGTATCCAGTTTAAGATGTATCAAATGATACTCAGGGGAGCACCCACATCCAAAATACAAAGCATATATGCGTGCCATGATCAAACAGCAGCAGATAAGTGAGGGAAGAAAAAAAAAGGCTTTTATAATGAGCATAAAGTGATCGCTTTAAAAGAAACTGTTGTACAGAAACTTGAGAAAATAACTGAAAAAGAATGAGAAGAAGAAGAAAGCTTTAACTCAGTACAAAAACAGATTAGGTGACTGCTTTTCATTGTGTTACCCACAGCAGCTTCTGTGAGATGCAATGAAATCCCACATGTGGAACAAAGGCACAGTCTGAACCCAGAGGTTTCTGAAGTGCATACGTGATGCTTCAGTCAACATATTTTTTTAAATTTCCATCATCACCTACAGCAGTTTCCTAGCAGCTAACATTAGCACTCCTTTGGAGTCATCTTTGTGTCCACCTAAATCAAGTCCTGTCACTACTTTTCTCTCATTGCTGCTGAGACCTGCTGCCTGTTGCGGCTGAAAACAACCTCAGTGAGTTCAAAGTTTGCAGACAGGAAAAACCAACACACAATAAAATAATTCCTCTGATCATTTTTGGAGACTGTATTCTAGTGGGAAGGTAGAGCATACAGCCCGATCCGGCGGGGAGGTGTGGGATGCCAGATCGAGCGCCTTCCAGCTCTCCTCTCTGCTCTCTCCTATCTTGTCTCTTTTGTCTTACTTCTATCACCTTTTCTATCCCTTTGAAGAAGTGAGGCTCCATAAATGCTAAGGAGGTAAGTATTATTTCTCAGTTGCACTGAATAGTTAGGAGAAAATAAACTGTTGAAAACTAAACAGAAGAAAGAATGAGAGAAATAACAATTTAACATAAATCAGTGACACACTCCGGGACCTGATCAACCCTGGCAGGGCCTCCTTGGATGAAGGTGTCTAGTGATAATGGCCGAAACACACGATGAATCCAAGGTCCACTACTGACAATGTGTCCCAAATCTTAATATGATCATTTAGATCAGATCTCTAATCCCCCCAAAAATGTCAGATTAGCTTGGGTAAAAGATCGAAAGTTTCCTCATAACAGCCATCCCTCAAGATTCTCACCATTTAACGCAATGCATTATCGGGGACTACAACATCTAGTCCTTTTACTGAATTAGCAAGTTACATCTTTCCCATTTAAGACAGTCGTTTGATGAATTATTAAAGTGTAACTGTAGTGTATTATAGTGCAATATCTTGATTAATGTGGCTTTAAAGTCTATTAATGGGAAGCAGTGACTAGCAAATAGAATGATCTGGTTCCAAAGAATTCATAAAACATGGGATATCGCACTACATGCTATATTACAATATTAAATCAATAACATAAATAACATAACAACAGCTGGTAGAGTTGCTGGTGTTACTTTCATTATGAGAAAAGTGCTTCATCAAATGACTTTCAAGACCGAGCCATTATTTATCTTTCCTTGTCTACAATTAGCCCAGACAAATTTCAGTTTTCCATATGTCTGACATTAGCCAACATTAATTAGCAGTCAGTGTGCAGTCATTCAAGAATATTCTCAATGACTGTACAGTGCGCAGTGTTGTTGACTGCGCTGTCTAACATCTATAAGCTTAATGTTCACTACATGTTTACTTAGAATGTCTAAGTCACAGCATGCCAAAGAAGACGTAGGAGTAACACACATGGTCAAAGAGACTAGTAAATATTTTTAGTACAGGTGACCTGTATTATAATGTTCAAACAATTTCTGTGTTTATTGCCTGAGGCTTCGAGTTTAGACATATCAGTATCGGCATATTTGACCTACGTATGTTCATTAAGTGGCAGCTTTGTTGGCTCTGGCATCAGCCAGCAGCCTATTCTGTATCTGAACAACAACAAAAATGATATCACTGTGTAAACTCACTGCTCTGGACAAACACAATCGTGTTATTCCTTAGTTGTTTCTCTGAAGTGGAATCTGTCAGATAATTTGGCAACCGGAAAGGCAGTGGTAGAAGTAAAACTTTCAGATAAAAAAGCCTTTTTAAAAAACATTTTAGGGGAATGAGGGTAAAACTGATTTAGTTAATCTGGAAAGAACAGATTTTTTCCAGTGTGACCCGTCGATTGGTTAAGAAATACAGAACATTTTATTTGAATAAGAGATCCTGAGGTTGACTCTAAGAAGACACAGTGTTGTTCTACTTGAGGTTGGCTAACCACGTGTGTCCAGTAAAAAAGTGGACTTGCTTTAACTTAAAGGGGAAATGAGCACTGAAAGCCTCAGTATGTCTCTCTAACACGTGTTTGTAAGTTGCATTATGATATAGGACGGCTCAGTTTAGTGTGTAATGCCAGGTAGTCTGCCTTTTTTAAGCTTTTTTAATATATCCATTACATGCATAATTAGCACATCTGCTGTTTTGAAGAAGGAAACTAAGCCATGACAGCTGCTGTAAAAAATGGAAACCCAGTCACCTCATATAGTATACTTTATTAAGTGAGTGAGTCACTCTTCTATTTTGAGACCACTTGCTTCTAACTTCTTCTCTTCTCACACAATCTTC